TGTTTACTGCTGTGGAAAGCAGCAAAATGTAGTTGTAATAAAGCAGACTTTGAAGAGAAATGTATTAAAATATCTACTTATGGATGGATATATTCTTATGCTTTGTTCAATGAGCTGATTCACTACAGTAAACAATAAAAGCCACTTTACAATAAGACAAAATAATTGATTTATCAAGAAGAAACCATGGGGTGTGACTATGAAGCAATGCATTGCTTGGCAATTAAGAAGTATTTGCTGCACTAATTATTGGAATTACTAGGCATGGGTAGTTTACAGTATTTCTTAATTTTTTCAACATTTTACCCTTCAAATGTCAAATCCCAACAATCCAAATACTGTTGGCAAATTGGAAAGCAGAGAACAACCCTCCAGTTACTACAGTCAAGACAAGCAACTAGTTATGTTTTATGTTGCTTGTCCTTAGGAGTTCAACATTATCACACCCCCCCCAGACCACACAAACCATAAACATCTTTGAGCTCCAAACTATCATTAGATAGTTTTTATTGAACTCTAAGTCAATACTAAGTTGGTTAGCTGGCAAGTTCATAATCACCAGAGGTAATATTCACAGTTCAGGAGAAGGGGTCAACCAAGAGCTGGATGTGCATGTGTGATTTCCTACTTTCATGATAAAAAGTGACAACGTTCAAAATATCCAAGATCGATATTTTAAACAGGAAACCTCTCAGTCAGAGGAGTCTTTGGCTTCACCCCACTAGAACCACACCAGGATTTTTGGTGATAAATGAAATTTCAGAAATAATTCAGCACTCAATACCAGCAACATTTAGTAACCATGTCGAGACTTAGCTTATCATCCTCAATAACCATCTCCAACCTGTCCTCAGGGAACAGTCTGGGCAGTGCCAATTCCCATATTCACACAGAGTTCAGCATCATGCAAAGGACTGAAATCCAGAGATGAAAAATACCAACAGAATGAAGAGGAACAAAAGCCACAGCTATGGCAAAACCAGAGACCATGGAGCACCCACCGTTGCTCCCAGGCTCCAGGGAACGGCTACCACAGATCTACTGCGAGCTGAGAACGTGGGGGCCAAAATCCAGTGACAACTACAGCAGGCTGGCTATGGAGCCGAGGCATGAAGGGCTGTTTAGAGCACACCCTCATGGTGTGCTTTCCTATCAATAAATAAAATACTGAGATGACGCTCAACCTTACCTGGAGAAACACACCCAACGCAGTGTGAAGCTGAAGGAACATGATGTGATGCTCACGAGCCTCCACAGGGAACAGCCCTTGGCTTCACGATGGCCAGGGCATCATCCTCGGGGCTCTTCGCCACACACCAGTCCCTGCCTCCTGAAGGCTCCATCACTGACGAAAAGCATGGCTTCCCCTCACCAGGACCTTCTTCTTCTTCACAGAATCACAGAATCGGGCAGGTTGGAAGGGACCACGGCGGGTCATCTGGTCCCACCTCCCCTCTCGAGCACAGGATTGCATCCCGATGGTTCAGGAATAGGTCCGGACTCGTGTCACTCATGGCGTTGGTGTGAGACAGGCCACACTCTTCACCTGGGGTTGGCGCGGGAGGAGCTCTGAGCTCTGCGCTGGTGGCTGACGAGGGCCGGGGGTCGGTCCGTGGGCAGCCCGGCCCGCTGGGCACCACCGGCACACGCTCCCCCTCGCTCCGGGGAGCGCCGCGCTGCGCCGCGAGGCCGCCGGAGGCCACGGGGCAGCGTTTCTCCTCACAGAAATGGCCCAGACGGCTCCAGGGTGTCGATGGCCGACGGCTTCGCGCCACCCGACGTCCCTCAGCCGCCTCAGAGCGGCGGCCGCCGCCTCCACGTGGGGGGCAGGTGGCGCGTGGCTCCCCCTCAGCCGGGGCGGCCGCGAAATGGCTGAGGGGGCGCGGGAGATGCAGCGCCGTGCCCGGCGGGGAGCGGGGGGCGAGAGCGGCCGTCCCTCCCCGGGCCGCCCCTCCTCGGGGGCTCCCGGCGCCGCCGTCCCCTCGGCGACGGCCGGGCCGGGCGGGGCGGCCATGCGGCGCCGGGGGGGGCGGGAAGGTGCCGGCAGGGCCGCCCGAGGCCCCGCGCCCGGCTCTCCCCGTGGTGACCTTGGGCGGGCGGCGCGGCCCTCCCCGACAAGCGCCCGCTCCTCGCTCCCCCCTTGTGCCCCCCCCCCCGCCCCTCTATTTTTTATTTTATTTAATTATAAATTTTTATTTATTTATTTTGACCGCGGAAAGAGTTTTGAGGCGGGGGGGGTGAAGGCGGGGGGGGGTGGGGGTGGCCAGAGGAGGCCGCCGTCAGAGCGGCCCGGGGACTTTCCCTGCCGGAGGGAGGGCGCAGGGGGAGAACCGTCCCGGTCCCGGTCCCCGCCCGGGGCGGGAGGCGGCGGCGGCGGCGGGCGGGGTGTGAGGGGAGGGCGGGGGGCGCCGGCCCCGCCGCCGCGGGGGAGACGCGGCTCCCGGCGCTGTGCGCCCGAGCTGCTGCTGCTGCTGCTGCTGCTGCTGGTTACGCCAGCCCCGCCGCCTGCCTCTCCGCTCTCCTCGCCTCTGATTCTGCGCACAGCCAGCCCCAAAGCCTGTCATTCTGCAAAACACAGTTTACTCAACAGAGAGAGCGAGTGGGGGAGCGGGAGAGGTGGAGAGAGGGAGACGGCGCGGAGGAGCCCGGTCCCGCACCCCAGCATGGCTTCGGGGGACCTTTACGAGGTAGCGGGGGCCGCGGGGCGGGCGGGCGGCGGGGGGGGCGCCGGCCGGGGCGCCGCCGGGGGCAGCGGGGGCGCGTTCGGAGCCGCTCCGCCGAGCTCTCGTAGTTGCCGAAGAGCGGAGGAAATAGCCGAGGGAAGGGCTGGGGTGGGGGGAAAAAGGCTGGCGTGTGTGCCCGGGGTGGGGGGGGCAGGGAGGGATGGAGCGGCTCCCCTCCCTTCCCGCTGCCTCTCTCTTTCTCTTTCTCTCTCTACTTTCCATCGGGCTTGATCTTAGCAGGCCTTGCAAGAGGGAAGGAGGAAGGAGTGAAGGAGAGCGAGAGTTAGCGGTAGGATGGGGAGGCGATCGCGGTGTGATGAGCCCGTAGAGTGGAGAAAGTCCAGGTAAAGTCATAGGCGCTCTGGACGTGCTGAATGTGCAGATTAGTGCGAAAAAATGCGCCTTAGCGCTGCCGGGAGGCGCAGGGATGGAGGCGGCTCTGCGCCCGCTGTGCAAAGTGCAGGAGCCGGCGCCAGGTTGCTTCACCTCCTGCCCGGGGTGCTGCGGGGGTGGCGGGGGCGGCGGCCGGGCCGGGCCCGGGCTCCCCGCGGGCCGCAAAGTTTGGCGGGGGCCCCGCTCCGGGCGGCCCGGGCTGCGGGAGGGGCGGGCGGCGGCCCCCGGGCCCCCCAGCCCGCCGGGCGCTGCCCCCCGGGCGCGGCCGCAGCGCCGGAGCAGCATCGGCCGGTCGGGGCACGGAGGGGAGAAGGGATCGGAGACCCTGGCGAATTTTGACCTCTGGCGCCCAATTCTAATGCCCCAACTGAGAAAGGGTCTAGCCACTCTTGCCATGCCACAGAAGAAGAAGAGAGAAAGCTGAAATTAAGGCAGACTGGACCTGGTTGTTTGAAATATCCGGTTCCAGTAAGGGGAACCAGGGTGGAAGTCTACCATCTAAAGACACCAAAGGTGACTGGATGTCCTACACTTCTTGGTCTGGAGGACCTCCTCGGGTTCTTGGTGTTTCCTGGTGAAATGGCCGTTTGTTTTGTGGTTCTCTGGAGGGCACAGTTTAAGGGCTAAGACTGAAACCATCACCTTCCACTTGGAGCTGCGTGCTGATGATAGGCACTGCTCAACCATCAGGGTGTGCTTGGGTGTGGAGCTGCTGCTGTGGTTGGTTGGACTTGGTTGGACTTACTCTGCTTTTGATGATCTTGATGATCAGCTGTAGGGTCTCAAGAGAAGATGTGGAGGATATGACAGGTTTCACGTAGGCAGTTTTTGTTGTTGTCTTTCCAAGTCTTTAACAGAGGTCATAGTTAAAGGATGACATTGCTCTACTAGGACTGTGTGCTGTGTGTGGCACAGACCTCCTCTGAAGTGAACAGCACTTCAGCTCTCCTCCATGGTGTTAAATTGCTGGAAGTACATGATAATCTGAACAGTACCACTGACCTTTTTCCCTCCATATTGCGGTATCTGCCATTTAACTTTGTAATTTCAAGGATATTGCATGTGAACTGTGTTGCTGTTGTGACTCTGGAATAGCCAACTTTGACACAAAAAAGTCGGCGGTACAACTTTAGTATTAGTCGTTTCTGGGATGCGTGGAGAGTCTTTGCCTGGTGTTGCCCGAGTTTTCTTCAGATGTTTGGATTAGTTCTAGAAGGAAATAAAGCTGGTATGTCATGGCTAATGGTAGCCATGCTGGTTTAGCTCTGACTCGTCGTAAAAAATTTGGCTGTTTCTGGTCTTTGTGTCATAAGACGGTGATGTTGGGAAGGTGGATGTGGGCTGTTTTAAGTACCACGGTGTGGCATCCCAGTGAGGCTCCTCAAGGATTAACCTGCTCTGTCGATGTTCTGTGAGGGAACACACAGCCCAGTTTGCAGCCAGTGTTAGGCCCAGTCACTTTGCAGGCGTTTGTGTGGATGGATGTGAATTGTTGGTCCTGTGGTTCAAACCCTCTGAATCACTTCCTTTATTTGTTACTCCGTCTGAGCTACTTTTGCTTGTACGATCATTGTACAATATGGAAGAACTGTCTCCACCAGAATGGGTAAGTGGAAGAAGTGTGGCTGTTCATTCCTTGTCATGTGAGGTGTTTGGGATATGACCACCTCAACTACTCACAGTGTAAAATCTTCATCTACGTGTTGGACACGTGGGAAAAAGTACATGCGAGGCTTCAGTTGTCAATCTGTCTGCATTTTGCATCTTCACTGTGAAGTTCTCCATGACAGAGGTCAGAAGAAATGTCTAGAAAGCTCAAGAGTTTGTAAGTCTAATGGGTAGCAATTGGTAGTGGCTTCATTTATTGCCTCCCTGCTTCTTCCCTTCCCATCTGCATCCAGGGGATTTATTAGAAGGAAGCTCTTGGAGCTGGGATGTCCTGCACCAGTTTGCACATGAGATGAAGAGCTTTGTGCCTTCAGAGCAGTGCAAGTTCTTCCTTGGACACATCATTCTTCTCTGCCCTCCTGAACTGGTAGAACATTACGTGGATCACAGGATGACCATTAAACAGTTCCAGGAGTTTACCTTGAAATAATTTGGGGCTGTGGATGGAAATAAATAATTAGGGTCTTGTCTTGGCAATTCCAAAGATACACTGCACTCCTGATTCCATTTTGACTCCTTAGTAATATCCAAGCCCTTCAAGGGTTCTTCCTGAACTTCAGCAAATAAGACAGTAATTAACTCTGCAATTTGGAGCATTTAATACTGGCTGCAAAATCATTTTTGTTAAAGCCAGTCACGATCTAGGAGCCATGATAAAGCACACAAAGGAGTACAGTGTGTATATTACCTATGCAAACATCTCATATTTTGGTGGCACTCTAGAAACTTTTATAATTTTTCAAGTTTTGGAAATAGATGTGCATATTTATCTTGTCAGTCAATTCATTTTCTATTATCGTGTTATTTTAAAAGGCTTTTCAACCTTTTAAACTTAGAGATAAATTCAATTACTGTCTTTACATTGAAGCAAAATAAGATCACAGGCAAAACAACCTCAGTGTTTGGTTAACTAGGTGCCTTTTTCTGTTTAGAAATGGCATCTAATCATCTGAAAAACATTTGGGTTAGGACTATGAAACAGGTACTGATTTATTCTAGAAGCAAGAGAACACCCCTTGGGAGCTCTGTGTTTACTGGGAGTTCAGTTCTAGAGCTGTGTATTAGAACCCAGACACTTTACAGCAAAAGCGAGTTATTCCATTATATGGCTGGATGTAGGTGTTAGTTTTGACGGTTTTTAAGTACATTTTTTTCCCTTGAACAGTGAGGAATGCTGTGTATGCTTCAGTGTAATTCTCAGGCTATATGAAATGCTGGTCTGGCTTTGCTTGACTTCCATGTGCTTATGACTTCAAGCTTTTATGAGTGGGTGAAACTGTCATGGAATATTCCCTTTTTTTTTTTTTTCTTGCTTTTCCTCATAACAGGTGACCTGTTAAATATTAAATATTAAAGGCCTATGATTGCGTGTTCCTTAGAAATAACAATCTGAAAATAAAGGACTGACAAAAGGGTATTCACAGTGGCCTTCAGCAAGGCAGCCCTGGTTTGCCTTGGGATTCACACACACTGTTGGATGCATTGACAGCAGATCCTCGTTCAGTTTGGTAACCAACAGAAAGGAAAATGTATTTACTCTTAAATACCAAGTTTGTTGATTCACATTAAAGTTGTCAGTAGCTTGAAATAACATTCCATATTTTGCATGTACAATTTAGTTGTCACATTGTCTGAACCCTGACAGTTCTGTCACAGAGACTCTGGTGTTACAAGTCCATGAGATGGCTTTAGAGGGGGAAGGATTCCATAGGAACAGTGCACCTAACTTTATTTTTCCTAGCCCAGAGCATCCTGTTTACTGCAATAACCCCCCTCCCTTTATTGATGAGTATGTGAATCAGTTATCAGTATCAGAGATGCTCATCAAGCTGACTTTGATGCTTTTTTTTTACATAATATTTTGGGGGCTTGTATACAATGAGCACAATTAGACTTTCAGGGGTGATGATGTTGAAATCTAAAGTCATATTTTACCCTGTGTCAGATTGTGTTACACCACCTTGGGTAAGTGATCTAAAGATTATAGCTCAATCTCTGGAGGGGACTGGCACATGCACGTGTTTCTGGATCACAATAATAAACCCAGTAGTGTTTGCTTTAAAGTGAAAAAGTGACAATTTAAAAAAACCTTCTCACTGAAATGATACAACGCCCATGGACAGGAGCTTGTCCACCACAGTGACAGGTTTCAATCCAATGTCAGTCTGTTTATGCAGCACTGTAAGAACAAGCTGCAGTTTATTTCAGCTCATGTGATCCACCAGAAAGATAATGTACTTCCAGATAATTGCAACATCTCCCATTTCTACCTGCACTCAGGTACCAGCAAAGTCAAAACTTGAAGGTAATAATGGCACTGTTTGGGCTGCTGAATCCTCATGACACGTGGAGACACGCAAGTGGGAGACAACAGGGTTGAGCTTTTGGATGCCAGGTTTGGTTTGCAGATGCAGGGCTTAGAAAATCATCTTTGTTTTACACAGTGAGCAAATGCGAGTTTTGGGGCATGGTGGCTTTCCATCTTGCATCTCTTTCAATGGGGTCACTTTTTAGCAGAGACTTAAATCTGCTAATTGAAATGAAAAGCAGAAATCTATTCTTTGTTTTATTTTCTAAGACAGAGGTGACTTGCAAGAAGATGGTGTATTTAGGTAAACATTATTAATATTTCTCAAATCACCCTCCTTATTGATATAACTGTTCCGTGGTGAAGGAACAAGACTGATTTCACAAGTGGCTCCAAGCAGGATGTGGGGAATATAGAACAGTTAAGCACCTACTGCTCCTGTACCTTGGCAAGCTGTGGGTGCAGTGCTGATTTCAGTAATACCGGGCTGGGGCTCTCCAGCTCTGAGCATCTGTAATTAACACCTTATTTTTGTAGTGGAAAAGCTTTACTAACAACTGTTTTGACGACTCAGCTATTAATCTATACATTATCATTGAGCTGTTCTCAAAATCAGTATTTAAAGACAACTGTCCTCAAAATCAGGTCACCTCTGAGCAGCATTGCCCTGGGTGGGTGGAAGTGCAGAAGTTGTGTTGCCTGATGAGCATTTTCAGGACTCTGTTCCCAGTTAGGTGAGATGTGCAGGACAGACCCTGTTCCTAAGTCCCAAACCAGGCAATCACCTGGACACTGAGCTGTAAATGGAGCTTCAAAGCCAGTAATAAAGAGCTATCCTGAGGTCCCTTCTGCTCAGGTCCTGGAGTTCTCTAAGGGAAAGATACTGAGTGAGGTTCTAAAGTGTAACTGGAGAACTCTGGCAATATTCATTATCCCCCTCAGAAATTCCAGAGCCGAGCCACATATGGAACATTACAATGCACATAATGACTGTCTTGTTTACCTACAGCGTCACTGTTACCACGGCTCCAACTTCCTCATTACACTGCAAACTGCTGGGCATATTTTGGGGCACTGAAAACCAATTGATTTCTTGTTAAAATCTTGATAAAGTGTTTTATCTGCATCAAGTGTAGTTTACTTCAAGGGACGTGGCCCAAGTGTACTCCTGGCTTGGGAGGGACACTGGAAATGCACCCTGAAAGCCTCAACATTTGCAGTGAAGACTCCACCAAAGCCACTGATCTGAACGTGCTTCCCCTCAGTGCCCAGGTTCAGTGCTGAGAGCCATTCAAAGCTTAAAATGACATCATTTTTTTGTAATACTTTCTGAATGACAAATACGGTGCTTTACTTCGGGCTGGTCTTGGATTCAAAATTAAAATCCGGCAACAAACTCATTGTTTAGTAATTGTTTGTGAAAGTTAAAATATTTAGAGACATTTCCAATAATGGCAAAATTTAAATGTGGTCTAATATTGAAAGAAATGGGCTAATTATTTTTTTAAAATCAATGGAGTATTTGTGATGGCCAGCTATGCTGTAAATAGCTTTTCTTTGTCCATTCATTTGACTTTTAGCAGCATTACAGTTCCTTGGCTCTGTACATTTTCATCAGTGCAATCCCTTTTTGTTGTTCTTCCTTATCCATACATATTTTTCAGATACTTTCTGCAGCACATTTTATGGCACTGACATCCTGACACTGGCAAGAAAAGTTAATTAAATAGTTAAATGTCCCTTGCATTGAAACTATTATAACAATATAATTGAAGTGAAATGTTGGCATTGCAGGGCGACTGGTAGTGGGGTTTGTGAATTCTGGATTTCTTTACATTCATGCAAATACAAATATTCTCATTTTGGCATAAGAAGTTCATAATTTTGGCCTGTTGAATTAATTATGTCACACTCTTTGTTTATTATCAAAACTCTGCATTGGTAATATTGCAAAACTGAAGGGAAATACACTGCAGTCTGTTTTCTTAGATTACACAGAGAAAATTTGGATTACAACACTATTTTAATATCATCTCCTTTTTAGTCCTGATATAAAATACTGTTGCAACTCTGTTAGGTCTCTCAAAACTTTTCCAAGAAGTTGATATGGTTGACCTGTGTAGGAAAGAATTCCTCATGTGGCTCACCAAAGAGAAAATAGGTTGACTCTTACAAAATGGTAAAGGGTGGCATTGAAAACATCTCTCACAAAGACACTCCTCTTTGAAAACAGCAGTTGCCCCACCTGGGCTCTGCCAGATTTCTCACAGTCCACCCCCAAAATTTGCAGCCCATTCTTTAAGAGGAGCAAAACAGGAACATTAAGGATATTTTCTTCCCTAAGGCTCTTCACTGCATTTATTTTATATTTTAGGGGGTTTTGTGAAATCATCCTTTAGCAAAGTAATCACTTAAATGTGCTCATCACAGCACTGAGATCCATCGCAGATTAGCAGCACCTTTCAAAAGAATCAGAATCAGCAGATTCATGTGAACACGTGTCTTGTCTGTACAGGAGTTAACATTTTTAAAGGAAGGCAGAGCTCACAGAACTCTTAATGTCCAAATAAGAATGGCTCTGGCTGGGGTGTTTTTTCAGAAAACCTTATTGTAAGACCCCACAGGAGCAGCTGGTAATGACAAGGTGTGCTCCAGAAGAGCTGGTCATCTCTTAGTCTACCTGGTTCACAGAGAGGGTGTCTATGAATAGAGTTTCCAAATACCTTTAGGGTATTAGGGCCTGTGTTGTACAATAGAATCATCAATTATTTGAAAATCATCACAATTACTCTTGATAATTCATGGAGTATTATAATTGTCAAGACAAAGGTTGACATTGAAAAGTTGGGTGTCAGCAGCTGAAATTCAGTGTTTATAAATGCAAGCTAATGATCAGAGGAAAAAATAATCCTGACCATACATGCATAAAAATGAGCCCTGAAGAAGCTGTTACTATTCTGCAGAAATCTTGGAATCACTGTGGAAAAGTTTCTGGGTGTGCCCACGTTCATATTTTAATTTGGATCAGGTGCATGCTTTTGAAGTGAATCTCCCCGTGCTCCCCAGTCACCACACCTCTGGTTGCATCACTGCACTGTCTTGGAGAGCAGTGACCACGCTCCCTCCCGA